ACGGTCACATATAAAAAAGGAGCCTCGAATATCGCCGACGCACTGACCCGCCCCACTGCCCAAATACATGCGATACTACTCGCCCAGACCAGCCCGTTACTGACAGGACTATTTACCCACGGATATCAAACAGACCCATTCTTCATAGGAGGAAATTCACAGCAATTCGCAGCAGCCAAGGGAGCCTATTACGTAAAAGCTGGATCCGACCGCATCTGGGTACCAGGGTACACGCTACTACGGGAACTACTGTTACAGGAGGCACACGACGGAGTTACCTCGGGACATTTCGGAGTAGAAAAAACACGGCAGCAGCTGCAGCGGTACTATTACTGGTCGGAAATGTTGACCGACGTGCAACGACACGTGGCATCGTGTCCCACTTGCCAACTCATGAAGTCAACCAGGAAGCGGCCGGCAGGACAATTACAACCAATCCCACCTCCAGAGCGTGCTTGGCAGCAGGTGACGATGGACTTCGTCACGGGGTTACCGGCCGGGGCGAGTGGGAATGACGCGATCCTGGTCGTCGTCGATCGACTAACGAAAATGGCACATTTCGCAGCATGCAGGAAATCAATCACAGCCGAGGAAACAGCCCGACTCTTCATCGCCACCGTCGTTCGACTGCACGGGATACCAGCATCAATCATCAGCGACAGGGACACGAAGTTTACCAGTAATTTCTGGCGGAACCTGTGGCAGCAGTTCGGCACGCGACTTCAATTCAGTTCATCGTATCACCCCAAAACCGACGGACAGACAGAACGGACAAACCAGACTATGGAGCAACTCATTCGAGCCACGTGTGACGATCCAAACACGTGGGAGCAGCAGCTGCCTCTCATCGAGTTCTTGAGGACAGGCAGGAGGAGTTCCAGTGTCTGGCCGCCGCTTCACCTCGTCTCGCGTCTGTACTGCTAGCCCCTGAGGGAGACCCGGATGCACCAGACATCCCGACTCCGCGCTCTTACGCGGAGGCGATAGAGGGTCCCTACTCCTCTCAGTGGCAGGCAGCTATGGATGCAGAGATGGCTTCCTGGAAGTCCACAGGCACCTACGTTGACGCTGTTCCCCCTCCTGGGGCGAACATCGTCAGTGGCATGTGGATTTTCAGGGTGAAGCGGCCGCCGGGTTCTCCGCCTGTCTTCAAGGCGCGTTACGTGGCTCGTGGCTTCAGTCAGCGGCACGGGGTTGACTACTTTCAGACCTTCTCCCCCACCCCGAAGATGACCACTCTTCGGGTTCTGCTGCACGTTGCTGCTCACCGTGAATACGAGCTGCACTCTCTCGACTTCAGCACAGCTTTCTTGCAGGGCAGCCTGCACGAGGAGATCTGGCTGCGTCGCCCACCTGGCTTCACTGGGTCTTTCCCTCCTGGTACCCAGTGGAGTCTCCGGCGTCCAGTCTACGGTCTCCGCCAGGCGCCACGTGAGTGGCACGACACACTGAGGACTACGCTCGCGGCACTTGGGTTTGCTCCTTCTACTGCCGACCCGTCGCTGTTTCTGCGCACCGACACCTCTCTGCCGCCGTTCTACATCCTCGTGTACGTCGACGACTTGGTCTTTGCCACAGCTGACACTGCTGGACTCGCCTACGTGAAGTCCGAGCTGCAGAAGAGACACACGTGCACTGACCTGGGTGAACTGCGCAGCTACCTTGGCTTGCAGATCACCCGGGACAGAGCACGCCGCACCATTACCCTGACTCAGTCACACATGGTGCAGCAGGTCCTTCAGCGCTTCGGCTTCACGTACTCCTCGCCTCAGGCCACTCCTCTGCCTACTCGCCACTCGCTCTCAGCTCTGCCTTCGGATGAGTCCGTAGAGTCGAGTGGCCCGTTTGCAGAGCTTGTTGGCTGCCTCATGTACCTGATGACCTGCACACGACCTGACCTCGCATACCCTCTTAGCATTCTCGCACGCTTTGTTGCTCCTGGGAGACACCGACCAGAGCACATGGCTGCAGCGAAGAGGGTGTTGCGCTACTTGTGCAGTACGTCGGGCATGGGGCTAGTGCTTGGAGGGTGCAGTCCAGTGGTCCTCACTGGGCACGCAGACGCCTCTTGGGCTGACGACCAGGCTACACAGCGGTCGTCACAGGGTTACTCCTTCAGCCTTGGTTCCGGCTCTGTCTCGTGGCGGGCTACCCGCTCGTCTTCTGTTCTCGGCTCCAGTTGTGAGGCTGAGATCTACGCTGGGGCTATGGCTGCACAGGAGTTACGCTGGCTCACCTACCTGCTGACCGACCTTGGAGAGCAGCCTCGTTCTCCTCCAGTTCTGTACGTAGACAACAAGGCCATGCTGGCCTTGTGTCGAGAGCAGCGACTGGAGCACAGAACGAAGCACATTGCTCTCCGCTACTTTCTTGCTCGTGAGCTACAGCAGCGTGGACAGTTGCGACTTGCGTACGTGGCCTCTGAGGCCAACACTGCTGATGTCTTCACCAAGGCACTTGCGCCTTGTGATCATCAGCGTTGTTGCACACAGTTGGGTCTTGTGCCTGTCTTGCCTCACTTGCTCTCCTCTTGACCTTGCTTGTACCTTCGCCTATATATACTCTTGCTCTTGCTTGCTTGACTCTTGTATATCTCTATATATGATCTTGCATGTGAACTGGCCTTCTGACCTTTGAACTTGTGCTCGGAATGCGTGGTGACTTTGTGATCCACCCTGAGCTTTGCTTTGCTTTGCTTGACTGGTCTTGTGACCCCTTGTTCTCCCCCACTTTGCCTATGGGGGTGTGTCAGAACATATAGCTTACTTGTTTCTGTAGGCTATAGTGGGGTATCCCATAGGGGGTACAACACAATTAGGGTTTCCTATTTGTATTCACTTCAGTTCATAGTCATCCATCCTCGTTCACACTTTCTCACCTGTGGCAGCAGTTCGGCACGCGACTTCAATTCAGTTCATCGTATCACCCCAAAACCGACGGACAGACAGAACGGACAAACCAGACTATGGAGCAACTCATTCGAGCCACGTGTGACGATCCAAACACGTGGGAGCAGCAGCTGCCTCTCATCGAGTTCGCATACAACAACGCGCCATCTGCCACGACCCAACAGTCGCCATTCTACTTGAATTACGGACAGAACCCAACAGTACCCATGACACCAAACCCCGACAATCCCGTTCCACGCGCACAACAGTTCGCCGAGATTTTGCAAGCAGCACGGACCAGGGCAGCAGAAGCAATTAAAAAATAAAATATCATCGCTAAACGCAATGCCGATCGCCACCGCAGACCCGTCACTTATCAGCCCGACGACCTCGTTTTACTCGACACTCAGAACCTCCGCCTGCCCATCACTCCCAAACTCCGCCCTCGATACTGTGGGCCATTTCGAATCAGTCACATGATCACACCTGTCACCGCGCACCTCCTACTTCCTGCTGACTGGTACGTCAGCCCCTCGTTCCACGTCAGCCTGCTTCGCCCTTACGTACCATCTACGAGCCAACTCCCACGACATCGACCACCCAGCATGTCACGACCACCAACCGAACCAGTCATCACTCCCGACAAAATCTTGAGCCACAGAGTTCGCGACCCTCGAGGGGCCCGAAAAGTTGAGTTTCTGATTCGCTGGAAAGATCGTACACCCACCGAGGACAACTGGGTTCCCCTGAACAGAATTGAAAACCACCCTGTCGTCACCGACTATCTACGCAGCCGAAACTTCAAAGACGTCCACGCGCTTTCGTAAGGAGGACCTTTTAGGAGGGGGGGTAGTGTAAGGAAATTCCCTTTTCCTTACTTCGCATCTCTGCTCAACGCGTACATCACTGTAGCACCTCAGTCAGCACCGTTACCACTCGCGACCATCGCATCATTCATCATCCCGCCATTTTCGCACATCGCATCCCGACCTCACGGCTCGGCTGGTAACCCGCGCTCCGGGCCTACGCTTCGACACGTTCCCAACCTCAGTCCCAGGCTCGTCGCGCGACCATTACGGTTACCACTGTAGTTTCGCTATATATTCTTCGCTCATACCTTCGCTCATTGTACTCTTGTTTAGATAGTGCAATTCTCGCTCGTTCACTCAATTGCACTCGTAACACTAACACACCTTCTAACTGCCTGGAGTGAAGAACCCAGGGGAATAACGAACACAGGGTCTTCAGTTCCCAGATTTCTTCCCCTAAGATCACCTTCGCGAAGTCCAGCGGTTACTGTGACATAATACGCACACTGTCTCGGAAGCTTTCGCCTTCGCATCCCAGAGTCGCATCAGCCTGCCTGGCGAGTTTGAATCTGTTTGAACAGAAGTCCCTCACTTTCGCGAAGGCTGTTTGCGAAATCCAGGTGAGTTTGAAAATGTTTGTCCCCTGATCATCGCTACTTCGTGCCTGCAGTCACCAAACCAGCACGACCTTCTGCCGAATATCGAAGAACCGATTTATACCGTACCCAAAACTATCGTAACCAAGAATGTGGAGTGAAGAATTTTCAAGCAGACACAGGCGAGCTTCCATTCTCATCCTCAAATTCCGAACTTCCTTGATTCTTCAGGAGCTAAGAACTCGCAGTGGCAGATAGTCCACGATTACCACCTTGCGACTTATTCCCACGGCGCGTTGCGGCAATGATCTTCTTCTTCCGCTGCGCTCTTGTCTGACGTGTCGCCATGCTCACGCCCTCGGAGGTGGGATGAGGCAGCCTCACGTCGCGATGGTTGCACAATGCCCTGCCAGTATTGTCCTGGCGTCGAGATTCGCTACTATGAAGCATTTCAGTGGAGCACAGCCTCAGCATCTTCATTCTTCTAGAAATCGACCATCCCACTCTACTTGGTCTAAGCGTCATCACTCCAGGGACCGTCGCTTCTATTTCCTCATCAGACACTTTTTCAAGCTGTTGCCCTTACTGCTGGGAGCACCATTACCATCGCCGTGTCGTAGCCATCTGATCTCATATCCTCGATAGAGCCAGCACCGTTCGGCACTACTGGCTTCTGTTCATCACTACGAGATTTCGTCGGCGCCATCATGACTCGAGCGTTCCTCCTCCTCGTCGCGCTATCCGCGTTATTAGTAGTTGCGGCTGGCGTCGCTGCCGCAACTAACCCCCCCCGCTCAGGCAAGATCGCTCTGCGTGGCGGCGACGGCAGCGTGACCAGCGGGACCACAACACCTGGCGGGCGCGGCGGCAGCGGCGATTCCCACACCGTTTCGCACGGCGACTCGCACGGCGATTCGCGGCACGGAGGGATTCTTGGCGGCGGGAGTGACGAGGAGAGGGAGGACGACGACGGAGGCCACGGCGGGCATGGCGGCCGGGGGCATGACAGCGACGAGGACGACTCTACTACTGATGACGACCATAACAGCGAGCACGAGGGCGAAGCTAACAGCGATGATGATAGCGACGACGACAGCGAGCATGGCGGTGGTGGCAGCAGCCATGGCGGCGGGCTGTGCGGGCGGGGCGGGTGCAGCAACGAGTCAGGCGAGGTGGGGTACTGGAAGCTGCCCGACTATGGCCGCTGCTCCATCGGCACCGTCAGCAGCGGTGGTGCGCCGAGGAAGGCAGATGAGGCGTGGTGTGCGGGGGCGGCGGTGGGCGTGAAGGAGTGTTGCAGCCGATGCAGCAGCGTCAATGCCACGGCTGATGGCACACCCTTCAACTGCCGCCACTGGGCGCACATTCCGTGAGTGCCTTGCCTTCCACCTGCCACCTTGCGTCGTTTACCGATCTGCTTTTTTTTCCATTTCGCATTTCCACGTTCCTTGCTTCGGGTCTCTCAACCTCTCCGCTCTTCCCTTCCCTTGCTTCGAATCTCCCAGATCTCCCGACTCTCACGACCGCCACAGCAGCGAGCAGCGAGGCAAGTGCGTCCTCCTGCCGGCCGTGGACGCGCTCACGCCCGAGAAGGCCCGCAAGGGGCGGTGCGGCACCAACACGGGCGACGACACGGTGCGCGTGGGGCGGCGGTGTGCGTACGGCGAGAACGACCCGCACTTCCTGGGCGCGCACGGCACGCGGTTTGACTTTAACGGGCTGCCAGACCGCTCCTTCTGCCTCTACACCGACCGCCAAGTGCACGTCAACATGGCCATGCGCGGCTACCTCGACCACCGCCCCCTCCCGCCCTCTGCTGGTAACCGTAGCATGCTGGCTGCGGCTCGTTTTGTCAACGGCTCGGCCGTTCGCACGTGGATCCGACAGCTGGCGATCATGTGGCACGACGGCGAGAGCAGCAACAGCAACAGCACAAGTGCTCACTCACTCGTGCTGACGGCACGGGATGGCAAGGAGCAGACTCGCGGCGCTCAAGGCTTCCTTGCATCCGCCACTCTTGACAACAAGCCTCTCCCACGCCTGACTCTTGGCGAGAGCCATGTTCTCTCAAATGCGCAGCTGATTTTGTCCTTTGTGGGCCAGGAGAAGACCGGCCCGTTCGACGTGGACGTGTACACCCTCCGCCTGGAAAATCTCCTGGAGCTCGAGTTGAAGCTGCGCGCAGCGCACCCTCTGTTGCAAACACCTGAGGACGCGCAGGTGCACATCAACCTGATGTTTGTGGACTCGAATCCGAGCAGGCAGGTGCACGGGGTGATGGGGCAGACGTACCGCAGCGGCAGGGAGCAGCGCACCATGGAGTATTCGAGGCTTGCTGCTCTGCTGCACCACCCTGTGTCGGTGGATGGGGAGGAGGGCAAGGGGTTTCTGGATGGGCAGGTGGGGGATTATGAGACGTCGGGAGTGACTGCCACTGACTGCAGATTCACTGCTTTCAATGGCGGCCAGCTGCCTCTGCTGGCAGAGGAATGAATTCCAAAGTATCAGTGGGACTTCTTTCCTCCACCCACAGACGTCATTTCCCCTTTCCTTCCCTTCCAATCTTACCAGCAAGGTATAAGCTAGTGTTCTCTCGTATTCTGGCGGTAATCCAAATTCTTGCTTTCATCCGAAGGTCTTTCACTTCCACCCTAAAACCAATCTGGGACTTTATAATAGTGTCCTGTGCTGGAATGGAAAGTCCAAGCTACAAACACAATACACTTTGTTTTGTTATGAAGTACGAAAAATATCCTTCGTTTTGTTTTGTTTTGATCGGTTCTAGGACTCGCGGAATATACCACGCCTTTACAGATTCTAAAAATCAAATGACCATGCAGTGCTCCCGTCCTGGAAGCTTTCCTAAGCGAAGCATTCATGAGAGCACACAGACAGAAGGAGCAACCCCAACAGGTGCAATCTACCAGTAGCAGCGACTTCAGTGGCAGTCGAGAGTGGGACGGGGCTTGTCGTCTTCATGTGGACATCGCTGCCATGAGACGTCGTGGTCACTTACATTGGTGCATTGTACTAGGCTAAAGATGGCACAGTGCAGGCGGCTTTAGGCGGCAAGGGCGAGATGGGGATCATTGTCTTCATGTGGTGGGCGCTGCAGTAGGCGTCCACGCTGCAGGCGAAGAAGAGAGTTGTGCCCGCTGCTGTCCGTGGCACCTTGTACCTGAAATGGTTGAGAGCGTTTGAGAGGGTTCAGCGGGTTTGAGAGGGTTGAGGCAGGGACAACAGTAAATGACATAAAAATTTCAGCATGGAAATCTCAACAGTAACGCCCAGGCTGTGTGTCTTTACCTTGTGTTATCCAAGGAAAGGAATATCAACAGTAACAACGAGACAAACCAAAGGTTGGTGGAGGCTGGTGAGAGTTGGTGAAGGGTGGTGAAGGATGGTGAAGGTTGGTGACGGGGGGTGATGGGGGGTGAAGTGTGGTGCGGTTGGGTTGTGCAAGGATACTGAAATGGTATGTGCAGCAGAGGAGGCATAAGCGCACTTGTATTTGTGGGAGGTGTGGACGCGGGTGAGCCTCTGGCCCATGGCGAAATCACTTTCGAGATTTCTCAAAAGTGATTTCATTCAACAAAGATTGGAAAGGTGTGTGCAACAGAAAGGGCGGCAGCGCAGTACTTGTAGCGCTCGGAGATGTGGACGTGCTTGAGCCTCTTTCCCATGGCGAAGGTGCAGTTGGTGTAGGCTGCGAAGTCCCTGAGCTGCCACACGTCATGCCGCGCCATGCGCTAGCGGAACACTGCGCGATGGTGGGGTGAGAGTACAGGAAGGAAGGACGTACAGGGAGAATGAAGATGAAAAGGGGGAACGATTAGTATGCAAGGGCCTTGACGCGCTGCACTTCATGCGACACACGGTATGCACTGCCATGCACCAGCGGAACACTGCAGGGTGGGGAGTAGGGGCGGGGGGAGGAGGAAGAGGAGCAAGGCAGGGAGAGTAAGAAATCAGCAGAGGGAGACTGGAAGAACGGATTGAGGTTGGGAGGGTGAGGTGGGGATGTCAAACTCATATGCTCTAGTCTGTGTAGGTTATAGTGGGTAAGACAATATGCGGTACAACACTTTTAGGTTTTCCCACTTGTACCCACCTGCTTGCTAGTTCATTCATTTCCTCGTTCTTCCACATGGTATAGAGCAGGTTCCCTAGTGGGAACGTTTCCTATGGCCCACCGAATATCGATTTTTTTCTTCCTGCCCGGAGCACGCTTCGCCCCTGCCCGAGTCGCGCCCCGTGTGCCTACCCTCCCGTCGCGTCCCCTGCCCTTAGTGGCCCGTCGCGCTCCCCTACGGCCCCGTAGCGCTCCCCTACGGCCCCGTAGCGGCCCCTCTCACGGCCTCTCACGGCCCCTCTCACGGCCCTTCGCGGCCCCTTCAGGCCCCTCGTGGCCCCTTCGCGGCCTCCCTTCGTGGCCCCTTCGCGGCCCCTTCGGGGCCCCTTCACGGCCCCTTCGCAGGCCCCTTCACGGCCCCCTCGCGGCCCCCCTTCGCGGCCCCTTCGCGGCCCCCTCACGGCTCCCTTCGCGGCCCCTTCGCGGCCTCGCCCCGTCGCCAGTCGCGGCCCCAGCCCGTCGCCAGGTGCGACCCCGCCGCGTCGCCCCCGCCTCGTCGCGTCGCCCCTGTGGGACCCGCGAGGCGCGGCTCCTATGCGTCGCGACGCCCCTGCGGGACCCGCGTGGCGTCACCCCTGCCCGCCGCGGCGCCCTGCCCTAACCCGAACCTGGAGCAGCCGCCACTGCAGCAGCCGCCCCTGGAGCAGCCGCCACTGCAGCAGCCGCCCCTGGAGCAGCCTCCCCTGCAGCGGCCACCCCTGGAGCAGCCGCCCCTGAAGCAGCCGCCCCTGGAGCAGCCGCCCCTGAAGCAGCCGCCCCTGGAGCACCCGCCCCTGAAGCAGCCGCCCCTGGAGCAGCCGCCCCTGCAGGAGCCGCCCCTGGAGCAGCCGCCACTGCAGCAGCCGCTTCTGGAGCAGCCGCCACTGCAATTCCCACCAATGCAGTAGCCGCCCCTGGAGTAGCCGCCACTGCAGCAGCCGCCCCTAGAGTAGCCGCCCCTGCAGCAGCCGCCCCTGGAGCAGCCGCCACTGCAGCAGCCGCCCCTGGAGCAGCCTCCTCTGCAGCAGCCGCCCCTGGAGCAGCCGCCCCTGAAGCAGCCGCCCCAGGAGCAGCCGCCACTACAGCAGCCGCCCCTGGAGCAGCTACCCCTGCAGTAGCCGCCCCTGGAGCAGCCGCCCCTGCAGCAGCCGCCCCTGGAGCAGCCACCCCTGCAGCAGCCGCCCCTAAAGCAGCCACCCCTGCAGCAGCCGCCCCTGGAGCAGCCGCCACTGCAGCAGCCGCCCCTAGAGCAGCCACCCCTGCAGCAGCCGCCCCTGGAGTAGCCGCCCCTGCAGCAGCCGCCCCTGGAGCAGCCGCCCCTGGAGCAGCCGCCCCTACCACTGCCACCCCTGGAGCAGCCGCCCCTGCAGCTGCTGTGGAGCCCTCGCCCTACAGTGGTAGCAGCCTCGTCGTTGCCGCCGTCGTACGCCTGCCCTTCTCGCCACTGGTGAGCACTACCCTGCCCGTACTGCTATTACTGCTGCTCTTGCTGCTACTGCTCTTTCTACTGCTACTGCTGCTCCTGGCGGGGCCAGATGCAGCTCCAGCGTCGTCCGCATGAGTCCCTCACCCCCAAACAGCTTCGAGAGTGGTACGCTAGTTGGGGTTATAGGGGTGGCCGCGCTGCGACTACTGCTATTGCTAGTGCGGCTACCACAGCCCTTGCTGCTCCTGGCGGTGGCCAGATGCAGCTCCAGAGACGTCCACGTGAGTCCCTCACGCCCCAGCTGCTTCGTGAGTGGTACGCTACTTGGGGTTGTCGGGGTGGCCGTAGTGGGAGTCGTCCTGGAGTGAGTAGTTCGGCAACTGCTTGTAGTGGCCACGTGCAGCTGCAGCGTCGTGCGCGGTCCTTTCGCCCCAGCAGCTTCGTGAGTGGTATGCTCAGCGTGGCAGGTCACGAGGTACTGCTCGCTGTCCGTACGTCATTCGCACTAGTGCTCGGACTGGTCAGCCTTGCGGGACGTTTGGTCACGCAGAGTCCCGCTGCTTCGCCCGTCTGAGCGACACCTGGCGTACGGAGTTTGGCGGCGCGGCTGAGCTCCCCGACTGGGTGGAGCTGCTTAGGCTGCAGGTAGATATCTATACTCTTGACTATGATGCTATCCTCACTGCCATGTATGCATTGCCTACTAGTGATGAGGGTGACTATTACCTGTGTGTTCCGCTTGACCCGGGCATTGAGGCTGCTGCTCTTGATGCTGGTGAGGCTGCTGCTCTAGGTGCTAGTGCGTCTACTGCCCCAGGTGCTGGTGAGTCTGCTCTCTCAGGTACCACGTCGGCTCAGGCCTTACACACCTTCACCCTTGACTCGAGTGCTTCCCGCTCCTTCTTTCGAGACCGCACCACTCTTACGCCGCTTACACGGCCGGTTGCGGTCTCCTTGCGGACCCCTCTAGGGGTCCTGTCCTTACTCGCTTCTCCACTGTCTTACCGTGTCCGGCAGCCCCCTCTGGCACCCTGTCAGGTCTCTACCTCCCCTCGTTCTCTACAAACTTGGTGAGTGGTGCTGATCTATAGGATGGGGGGGTTGACCAGTTCACTCCTGCGAGTCAGCGGGTGACCCACTGCACGTGTGCTCGGACGGGCCGACACTTGGCCACGTTTACCCGTCGGCCGGGGTCGAGCCTATACACACTTACTACTGAGTCTCCTCCGGTTGCTGGGTCTGGTCAGGTAGCTACGTCGAGTCAGGTGTTTGCTGCAGCGTCCAGGTCTGGTCCTAAGTCTGCTCCCTGCTCGTGTCGTCTCCTGTCCCACAAGACTCTCCTCTGACACCACCGCCTTGGTCACCCCTCCCTGCCTCGTCTCGGAGGCATGGCCTCCCGTGTCCTTGTCTCTGGTCTCCCCCGATCCCTACCTCCCCTCCCTCCGGGGCCTACCCCTACCTGCGTTCCCTGCGTCGAGGGGCGGCAGCGCGCCGCCCCTCACTCCTCCGACAGAAGCTACCCTGCAGACTCTTCACATGGACGTGTGGGGCCCCGCCCGCGTCCATGGCCAGGGTCACGAGCGTTACTTTCTGTTGGTGGTTGACGACTACTCGCGTTACACCACGGTGTTCCCCTTGCGTAGCAAGGGTGACGTCACTGAGGTGTTGATCGACTGGATCCGCGCGGCTTGTCTCCAGCTCAGAGAGAGTTTCGGCTCGGACTTTCTTGTTCTGCGTCTGCACTCGGACAGAGGCGGGGAGTTTTCCTCTGCCCGTCTGGGAGCCTTCTGTCGTGCACAGGGCATCTGCCAGACCTTCACGCTTCCAGCCTCTCCACAGCAAAATGGGATTGCTGAGCGCCGCATTGGCATGGTCATGGACGTCGCTCGTACGTCCATGATCCATGCGGCTGCTCCCCATTTTCTGTGGCCGTTTGCGGTTCAGTACGCAGCGCAT